CTCTCTCTCTCTCTCTCTCTCTCTCTCTCTCTCTCTCTCTCTCTCTCTTCTCTCTCTCTCTCTCTCTTCTCTCTCTCTCTCTCTCTCTCTCTCTCTCTCTCTCTCTCTCTCTCTCTCTCTCTCTCTCTCCCTCTCTCTCTCTCTCTCTCTCTCACGCTATCACACAAAGATGCACAGCTTTCGCTGTTGCCTCCACGGAAACACATCCCAATTCTCCTAGTATGCAACCTGTGCACCTTTCCCTGCGACTATGTTTGACTCTGTCTCTCCTACGCTCCACACCCGTGTCATGCAGTGTTCAAATACGCCAAGTATGCTGATGACGTGTATGTGGTCCCCACACTAACGGACTACACCAACTGCGACTACCGCAACTTTGTTTCATACTGCAACGGCACGGACGGCACGGGCAACGGGTGCGAGAGCGACCCCGTTACAAGCACCACCTACTTCATCTCGGGCTTCTACAGTCACTGCATGAGCGGCCAACGGGTGAGTGATGAAGCAAGGATTTCATTTCCGCTGTGCGTGCCAAAAAGGTCCGTTACCCGTTACACCAGGCTCGCGACTCAGTCGCTACTCACTCACTACTCACTTGCTACTGACTCGTGCCTCACTGTCATGCTTGCATGTGGTTGCTTGGCTGCCACGGCGCGGCCGTTGTCCTCGCCTGGATGCTCATCCTCCTTCCCCTGTCAGGAACTTTTCCCTCATCTGAACACCTATCAACCTTCTGACCTGTGTGCAGGTGGCTGTGACTCCACTTTCTCCGCCTCCGTTGTAATGGTCAACTCTTGCATGAGACAAATACGTGCTTGCGCTGGCAACATTGCTTGTCCTCTAAACCAAACGGTGACAGCTTTTGGCTGTCTAAACTGCTTCCTTAGGCTATATTGCTAATTGGATAGTCTATGCCGCTAACAGCGAGTGCCTTATGTGTGCAGTGTGTGGAAGTAGGCACGTGTATGAAAGTAGACAGAATGATAGGTGCTATGAATGCTGGCTGTTGGTAACAGCCTGTTCCCTTGTGTGACTCATCACTTACAATATGGCAGCTTTGTCTTGCTTGAGCAAGAGAAAACAATGCTGAGTTGGTGGTTTGGTGGCGATTGAAGTACAAACACCATAAGCTGCATATGCCAGTAGCATGTCCAGCGTTTTGTGTCGTATCAGGGCCTAAAACAGCTTGACATTTTTCTACCTTGACTTCTCTTGCCAAGAGTTTGGAACAACTGGTTTAGCTAAATTAGGTAGTTCCGTGATATATTATGTTTATCGAGGCAGTGCTTAAAAGCTTGTAATTTGATGAGCTTGTTTTCGTGGGCGCCTCGCGCTGGTTTTGGGAGTCAGTCTGCACGGCGCCGCCGACCCTCTCTGACGCGCCAGCGCGCCACGAGCACCTGGGGGTGCGCTGGACCCCGAATTCAGATCCAGGACTGTGCTTGCGTGGAGCTGTTACAGAACAGAAGCCTTCGTAAACCGAGCGAGTGCTGTACCAGTCACGAATTCTACACCCTCTTTCGTAGACTTCTGCAGCCAATCGGCAAAATGCAGGCACCATTCCCCGAAAGAACGTGACACGAGAAGTGCAACGAGAATGGTTTTGTTTGCGGTATCGACCCTTGTACCAAATCGCTTGGCTGTAGCTTCCCTTCCTCTCTTCCCTCCCCTGCCCAACCCTCCCTCCCTACGCTCCCCTGGCTCCTCCCTCCCTCCCTCCCTCCCGAATCTGCTTCCCATTCCAACTCCTCCAGTTCCTTCCTTTTCCACCACTCAAGCACGAGCGACTTTTGCGCAGCAGCAGCAGTAGCAGCAGCAAACAGGAACATCTCAGGAAAAGCTGCATTTTGCTCGAGTGGAGAGGTTAGCGGGGTAGGACTTGTATTGCGTGGCTGCTCGCAACACAAACCGAAGCCACGACGTGCGTCGCTCCCGCAACGCAATAGGCCTGTAGCTGTAAAAGGTCTATCGCAGTACCTCGGTAAAGTGCCTCCAAGAAATCAACCATATTGTCCTCGTATCAAACCTCAGCGGCAGCACCTGCTACCTGCCACATACACCACCTCCATTGGGAATACGATCAGGCCGCCTCTCTCACGGTTTTTTTCTCCCCCGGAGAGTCAGCGAATCTTCGCGGTAATGCCGATGCAGCCCGCCTCCACAGACCTTCCATATGACTCCCTCGACAAGGCCGCGGCAATCACGGCGGAAGCGACGGCGAAAACTCCGCCGGGAATGGCGGTGCAGGGAAGCCCACACTTCAAGAGCCGCACGACGATTTTCTTCGTGCTTTCCCTCGTGGCCTCAGCCTTGGTGCTGCTAGCGCCAGTGTTCTATCTCTCCGCCGTCTCCTCCGCCGTACCCGTTAGCCCGAGATTCATCTTCTCATGGCCTCCGACTCATTCTGCATCTCCTGCCGCCGGCGACGCGCCTTCTCCGGCTTTACCGGCGGGCGCAACGGAGGGTTTCGTAGGCGGCGGCCACGCGGCGGACGGGCGAGCGGAGTTTCGGACCATGGTGATGGGAACAGGTGCGCATCGTAGGATGCTTGCGCGTCTCCTTCCTATTGCTGCAGTGGCCTCCCAGCGTGAAAACTCTGACCACACTTTGATTCCCCAGTCACCATCGGTGCGTGCACCGGGCAATTCTCGATAGAAGCACCGGTCGTTTCGAAAACACTGCTCGCGTGGAACGTCCCGTACGTTCCGAGAAACCTCCACCCTTTTTGTTGTCGCTTACTCCGCACAAGCGACTTACTCCCGTTCCTCCCACTTCCCGCTCCACCCCTTAACGTCCCCTCTTCCCTTCCCTCCCCACATCCCCATACCCTCCGCTTGCCTTCCCTCCTTGCGCCTCCGCTGCGCCAACTCCGCTCGTTCCCTTCGGCGGCGCGCCGTCACCCCCATTTAGCTCCGCCAGGCCAGACCATAGTGGTGGTCAGCAGCAGGAAGGACAATAGCGAGGCATCTAATATCGGAGGCAGCGAGCCTTTCGAGGAAGGCTCGCTGGCAGCATCGGCAGGCAAAAACGAGGGGGGAGTAGACAGAAAAGGCGGAGACACAGGGAGCATTGCAGAGGGTGAGGGCGGGACAAGAGCAGCAGAAGATGCAGGAGCAGCAGCAGCAGCAAAAGCAGAAGCAGAAGCAGAGGAAAGCACGTCAGGAGGAGATACGCTGGTGGATGCGCAGCGTAAGGGAAGCACGGAACCTGAGGGTGATACCGAAGTTAAAATTCCTACCGCTGAGCCTCTGTCAACGGGGCCTACTGCCCTACCTCCCCTCCTCAACATCACAGACCGCATTCCCGGCTCTCGGCTGATCACGAAGCGCCAGGTAGACGCCTTCCGCGCGCGGTGGCGGTGCATCAGCGAGTCAGGACGCTGGGAGACGGACGAGACGCCTCGTCCCCTCCCCTGGGCTCTTCCGAACTACACGTTCGGGGGCTGTGATGTGGTTTTCACCAGGCGCCGCAAGGCGCATCTTGCTGGTGAGCTTGCCGATGCTGTGGCTCTGGGTCGGAACATGCAGGATCGGTGGGTGGTTCGGGGATCGCTGATGTATGACTGGAGGGTGGACGAGGGGCGGTGCGGTGGAGGGTTGAGGGAATTCGAGAGTGGGAGGATGTGCGAGGTGGTGGGAGGCGGAGGGAAGAACATTGCGTTTATAGGTGACTCGTTAACAGGACAGATGCACACCTCGTTCTTCAATCACATGCGCATGGCCCAGCGGAATCCATCAGAAAGCAACACCAATGGCGACAGCAGCAGCAGCAGCAGTAGCAGTAGCAGTAGCAGTAGCAGTAGCAGGGTGGAGGATAGAACGGCAGTGGAGCAGCGGCCATATGATCAGCTGTGCTGTGGAGGAGTGCTGCAGCAGAATCCAACCCTGGGCGAGTGGCAGGTGTGCGAAGGAGCTGCATTCTGCTCCGCCGGTCAGGAGGAGCGGCAGGAGCAGGACGACCAAGGGTTGGTCGGAGTTAGCAGGAAGGACGAAAGGGCCGGTTCATTTATTGCTGATTTTATCAGAAATGATTTCCTGACAATGGTGGATCATCCACGGTGGAATCTGGACACGTTTGCTGTGGAGTTGCCTTTCCTGGGTTACATGAGTGGTAACCGCTGCGATGTGATGAGACCAGAGAGCGAGATGGATGGGACGGTGAATCGGAGCAAGAAGAGGAACAGACGGCAGATGAGGGAGAAGCGGAATAGGAGGAAGGGAGTTCGTGGAGGTGGAGCAGATGCGGGGTCTGAGCTAGGCGTTGCAGACGAAGCCAAAGCAGCAGCAAATCTGACGGTGGCGCCTCCTTCAGCGGCAGCACTGTACAAAAAGTATGACATCCTTGTAATGAACCGTGGGGCTCACTATGCGGAGGACGACGTGTTCGTCCTGGAGCTTCGTGAGACTATCCTTGCACTGCGCACAAATTTCCCGGACGCCCTTATTATATACCGCAACACGCCGCCGGGTCATGCCAATTGCACGGAATACTGGGAGCCGATTTCCAAACGACAAGCACCGGAGGCGTTACCTTACAATTGGGGTGATTTTGCAAGGCAGAATGAAATGGCCCGTGAGATTGTGGAGGCAGCCGGTGCAGTGTATCTGGACGTGGATACGATGACGGCTCTCAGGGCGGATGGGCATGTGGGGAAGAACAGGCGGTACAAGGTGGATTGCCTGCATTACTGCCTGCCTGGTCCCATAGATCTCTGGACTAAGATGCTCTATAATGTGCTTTTAGAGCTGCTCTAGTTCGGGATTGAAAATGTAGCAAAATTCTAGTGATCTGGTTAGGAATAACGCTTTGTGTACTGTACCCAGTTTTAGTACAGTGTCGAGGATATAAGTGTAGCGCGTCTGTGGTGAGGTCGAACTCCTCGGGTGTCGCTTCGACGGGCACGTGTCCTCGACATGACTGTCGTTTATTGAGCCACGCCGCCCCGCACGGGCTGCACAATGCCGAGGAAATTGGAATTTCGAGGCGCGGCTCGATGCGTCGTCAGGCCGCCGGGATCAGACCCACTACGAACGAGTGGAGTGGAGCTGTGATTGGAGCAGCAATCTCTCAGCAGCAGCAGCGAGTAGCTAATTACGCAGATCGCGGGATCGACGGCTGGTGGTATAGATTCAGTGCGCGTCCTCCGCCTCTACTCTCCGCGCGAGTTTCTCCGTAGGAACAGGAGGCGGGGAGCCTTTGTTTGGAGCTTGGAAGCTGTACGTGTAGTGTGTCCCGCAGGCTGTCTTCGAAAGAGACTGCGACGAGTGGCTTTCAGATTCTCTTCCGCTTCTAGAACGCTGCCCGCACTTACGGTAGTTAGTTAGCAGCATTTACCGTACTCCATAGTTGCAGTACTAGTGCTGGTAGTACGGCCAGTAGCCACGCCACAGTTCACATTATCACCGCTGTCACAGCGTGAACAGTGACACGTCAGCGTTACACAGCCATCACGTCACACATCACGTCACACATCACACCATGTCGACGCTACTGTCCCTGCCTGGACTCATCAACCTAGGTCTCTCGCTCCTCATCCCGCCGCTCGGTGTGCTCCTGCTCATCCCACTCGCCGTCGTGCTGAACGTGTACCACTGGGCAACTCTCGCCGCGCGCTGGCTGCTGCTGCGTGCGCCGTCACCCGCGCTCTCCTGGCGCTACTCCTCGCGCGATAAGGTTGTTGTCATCACCGGAGCATCGTCAGGCATTGGTGAGGTGAGCGGTGCTGCACAGTGGAGCACGGTGAAGTGCTGGGGCGGTGGGTGCGAGGGATGAATGGTGTAATTTCTCCCCGCTTCCGCTCGGTCTGCTCCTGCTCATCCCACTCGCCGTCGTGCTGTGTACCACTGGGCCACGCTCGCCACGCGCTGGCTGCTGCTGCGCGCGCCCTCGCCCGCGCTCTCCTGGCGCTACTCCTCGCGCGACAAGGTTGTCGTCATCACTGGCGCATCATCAGGCATTGGAGAGGTGAGCGGTCATGCACGGTGAAGCACGGTGCAGTGCTGGAGCTGTGGGAGAGATGGAGTCCTACTGAAATTGGTTCCAAGGCCCAATGTTCCCATCAGTAAACGTGCCCACCCCCGCCAGCGGTCTCCTGGTGCTACTCGTCCCGTGACAAGGTCGTTGTCATCACCGGCGCATCGTGAGGCATCCGTAAGGTGAGCGGTGGAGCACGATGTGGCGCGGTGGACTGTGGTGGATTGATGGATAGGCGGGAGTGAAGGAGTCATCACCTCCCACTCTTATCCTTGCCCCATGAATCCCTCCCTTCCCTACTCCCCAACTCTCATGGGACCTGAGGAAGAGTGCAAAAGCCCTGCAACTCTTGCATCATTCTTCCTCGCCTTGTCCCTCGCCCCAATCATTACATGCCACGTGAGTTTGCGCGCAAGGGAGCGGCACTTACATCACTATTCCCCTCCCCTCTCCCCCAACCTCCCCCTCCGTCTCCCCCAATCAGTACATGGCGCGTGAGTATGCGCGCAAGGGAGCGGCGCTGGTGCTGGCGTCTTTTGAAGCGCCGACGAAGTCCCCCTCCCTCCCCCCTCCTCCCCTCCTCCCAAATCAGTACATGGCGCATGAGTATGCGCGCAAGGGCGCCGCGCTGGTGCTGGCGAATTTTGAAGCGCCTCCCTCCTCCTCCCTCAGAAGCCCCCCTCCCTCCCCCTCCTCCCCTCTCAAATCAGTATATGGCGCGTGAGTATGCGCGCAAGGGCGCGGCGCTGGTGCTGGCGGCGCGCAGGGAGCACCGCCTGCGCGCCGTCGCAGAGGAGTGCATGCGCCTGGGCGCTGCTGACGTGGCGGTGCAGCGCGCTGACATGTCCACGGAGGAAGGGTGCCACGCGGTGGTCAACGCTGCCGTGGAGCACTACGGGCGAAGTGAGTGACAGCGGGGAGGGGGGGGGCAACGGGAAGTGGGGGCGAAGAGGAGTGGGGGATGAAAGGGAGTGGGGGCTGGGGTGGGGATTGTTGGGGGGCCTCACGGTGATCAATGCTGCAGTGGATCACTATGGGCGAAGTGAGTGACACGTGAAGGGGGAGGAGAGTGGGGAGGGGGTTTGAATGAGGGGAGGGGGGAAGAGGGAGAATAAGGGAGGGTGGGAGGCGGTTAACCGATCACTGGCCTCTCCCATCTCCCACCCCTACCTCCTCTCTTGTCCATCCTCTCCATCATCTCTCAATCCGTTCATCCCCCTTTGCCGTTCTGCCTGTCTTCCCCTGCTCTCTAACTTCCCCTTTCTCCCCCTCTCCCGCCTTCCCTTTTCCCCTCTGCTCCCTCTCCCCTTTCCCCTCTCCCCTGCGCCCCCCAGTCAACGTGCTGGTGTGCAATGCAGGCACGGCGCACCCAGGGCTCTTTGAAGACGCCCAGGAGGTTCCGCGTCTTCCCTCATCTCCCCTTCCCCCTCTCCCCTTCCCCCTCTCCCCTGCGCCCCCCAGTCAACGTGCTGGTGTGCAATGCAGGCACGGCGCACCCGGGGCTGTTTGAGGACTCGCAGGACCCCACCACCTCCCGAAGCAGCATGGTACCCGGGGCGGGTGCGAGGGTGGGTGGGTGGGTGCATGGGTGGGTTGGTGAATGGGTGGGTGGTTGCATGCGTGCATGAGTGGGTGCATGGGTCATGGATGGGTGAAGGTTGCACAGTTGGGTGGAACCTTAGAAACTGGTGCGTTTATGGCTTCAAAGTAGTTTCCCCTTGAAGGCCCGGCCACAAAGCACCTTTCCCTGCAATCCCTGCCAACGCCCCGCGCCACCCCATCCCGACCTGCTCCCCCTTCCCATGCCCGGCAGGACATAGACTTCTGGGGCAACGTGTGGCCGACGGTGTTTGCGATGCCGTACCTGCGCAGGAGCCACGGGCAGGTGGTGGTGACGGCGTCAGTGGCAGCTTACCTCACGTACCCGCGCCAGTCCATGTACAATGTATGCCCTGCCTCTGCACTGCCACGTGCCTCACGTGCCCCACGTGCCCCACGTGCCCCACAAGCCTCACGTATGGCGCTGCCTGCCTGTGCACTGCCGCGCGCCTTGTGCTCCTCGTGTGCCTCACATATGCAAGACTACGTGCATTGCTCTCCTGCCCTGCCAGGTGGCCTTAGTGCCCTGCCCTTCCACCATTCACCACAAAAAGTAACCCCGTCTCTCTACTGTTACCATCCCTCCCCATCCCCCCACGCACACCGCCACGCGGCCAAGGTGGCCATAGTGCAGTGCTACGCCACGCTGCGTGCATCGCACTGTCCTCCTGCTGTACCCTCCTTTCACTCTACCCCTCCCCCCCCCCCCCCACCTCCACCAGGCGGCCAAGGCGGCTATAGTGCAGTTCTACGCCACGCTGCATGCTTCGCACTTCCCTCCTGATGGACCCTCCTTTCACTCTACCCCTCCCCCTCCCCCACCTGCCTGCAGGCTGCCAAGGCGGCCATAGTGCAGTTCTACGCCACGCTGCGAGCGGAGGTGCATCCGGAGGAGCTGGCCATCACCGTCGCCATGCCTGGCTTCGTGCACTCCGAACTCACCTCCCGCGCCGACGCCTCTGTGAGTGAGCTCCTCCCGACCCAAGGGATGCGCCTTTGTGAGCTGGCTGGCTATACGGGGGAGCTGGCCATCACCGTCGCCATGCCTGGCTTCGTGCACTCTGAACTGAGTCATGAATCACTTTTGCACACACACGAAATACGCTCACTCGCACCCCACACTCCGTTGCTCACACCCTTTCAAGAATTCTCAATCCGCCTGCACGTTCTCATACCCCACGCCTGCTCTGCTCTGCTGTAGTCTTTCTCCCTCGCTGTCTATCCGCACCCCCCTCACACACCTCCTCGGAAAATCCCCTCTAATACGCACTGCCTCTAATCTCCCCATTCCTTCTCTCCTTCCCCGTCTCCCTGATCTCCGCGTACCTCGTCCTGGTTATGACTTCATTTGACTCACCTAAGAATATCGCCTCTCCCCCTTTCCCCCTTTCCGCCTTGCCCCTTCCCCCTTCCGCCATCCCCACTTTCCCCCCTTCCAACCCGCCTCCTTTTTTCCCGCGCCGTCCATCTCCTTTTTCCAATGGCAGACGCACATCCCCTGGTGGTGGCCCATGCTCTCCACCCCCGAGGCCGCGCGCATCATCGTGCGCACCGCGGAGCTGCGTCAGCGCCACGTCATTGTGCCCTTCTGGTACAGCGCGTGGCTGCTGTACCGCCTGTTCGCCGCGCAGGTCATGGACTGGTCGCAGCGCGTCATGCTGCTGGGGCGCGCGCCGTCGCGGTTCGTGAAGGGCGCGCTGGCGGCGGCGGTGGGGGAAGAAGGGGCGGAGTGGCTGTTCCGCAGTGTGGCCGCGATGCCCGTGAAGGGGAAGGGCAAGGTGGAATGACAAGAATTGGGGGAAATACTGGAGGAATCAATCGAGGGAAAATATGTCAATGGTAACTTACATGGGGCACTAAAACGCGTACGGTAACGATTTCAACGCGTTTGGTAAAATAGTGACCCCCCCTTCTAGTTGGGTCCAACTAGAATTCTCCTTTCACTTGTGAAGTTTTTGTTAGGTTGGAAGTGCTTTGTGTTTTTTCTTTCAGCGGCGAACGATGGTTTCTTTTTTAACAGTGCTGATTGGTGGTAAACTTGTCGCACATAGATGCGCGAATTTGGCGCAAGGTTGCGCAAAAATCAATGCATCACACCCTGGAAATGTCGTACCATCACCACATTCGCAGAGCAACACAGCAGAGCAGATTTAGAAGCACATGCCACAAGAGTGTGTGGCGTGTGTAGAGAGCAGCCGAGCTGTGAGACCAGCTTAGCCATAGACATGGGGCCTGAAAGACCGGGAAGCCCTGAAAAATGAACGCTGGGGGAAAATGACACATGCCACGAAGTGACGCGAACAGAGAGAAAAAAGTGTCATTGGGAAGGGAACGTCTGGGATGAATGGGATTGGGGGGGAGAGAGGAAGAACGACGGGAGGGTAGGAGAGAGAGGAAGAACGATGATATGGGAGGAGAGAGGAAAAACGACGGAAGGGGAGCGGGGAGGCATAGAACGATGGAGGGGAGCGGAGAGAGGAAGAACGACGGAGGGTAGCGGAGAGAGGGAAAACGACGGAGGGGAGCGGAGAGAGGAAAAACGACGAACGGAGCGGAGAAAGGGAAAACGACTGAGGGTAGCGGAGAGAGGAAAAACGGCGGAGGGGAACGGAGAGAGGAATAACGACGGAGGGAGGTGTCAGAATGAGGAATGAATGATGCATTGATGTTGGTTGGGGTACATATAGCTAACCCTAAGTTTTGTACCCCCTAAGACAAACCTCACTATAGGCTACAACATTTGACACACCCCCATAGCCTAAGTGAGGGGTGTCTAGCAGAACCAAACGAGTACGGTCACAAGACCAGTCCAAGAAACGAAGCTCAGGGTGGATCACAACGTCACCACACAGTCTGAGCACAAACAACAGTGGCCACAAGGCCAGTCCAAGAAGTAACAGAGGTATATAGAAAGCAAAGTAAACAGTACACTCAAGTCTAAGCAACACGAGAACCAGTGTCAACAAGGCCTAACTGCACACAGCACCTCTGGTGGTCACAAGGCGGAAGCGCCTTGGTGAAGATGTCTGCAGTGTTGGCCTCGGACTCCACAAACTCAAAGCGAGCCTGTCCACGCCTCTGCAACTCTCGCAGAAGAAAGTACCTGACGTGAATGTGCTTCACTCTGCTCTCCAGTCGTGGCTCTCGACAAAGGAGAATAGACGCCTTGTTGTCAGTGAACAAGGTCGGTGCAGAGCTCGGCCGCTCACCAAGGTCGGTGAGCAAGAAGGTCAACCAACGCAGCTCCTGTGCCGCCATGGCACCAGCGTAGATCTCAGCCTCAGCTGTAGAGGTCGAGACCGAAGAGGAGCGCGTGGACCGCCAGGAAACAGCTCCAGAACCCAGGCTGAAACAGTACCCCTGAGTAGACCTGTGAGTCTCAGCGTCGTCAGCGTAAGAGGAGTCACAGTGACCAGTAAGTACGACAGACTGCTGCCCTCCAAGAACTAGCCCCACGCCTGACGTCGTCGCTAGGTACTTCGCCACCCTCACAGCTGCTGTCCAGTGAACAGGACGGTGTCTCCCTGGCGCAACAAAGCGCGCAAGAACGCTGAGAGGGAAGGCGAGGTCCGGGCGAGTACAAGTCATCAGGTACATGAGGCAACCCACAAGCTCAGCGTAGGGACCACTAGGCTCGAACGGCTCGTCAGGAAAGGGTCCAGTGAGTCTGTGGTCAACAGCAAGAGGTGTGCGCTGTACTGTGGAGTGCTGAAGCCCGAACCGCTGAAGGACCTGCTGCACCATGTGCGACTGTGAAAGTGTAATGGTGTGAGCAGCTCTGTCCCTGGTGATCTGCAGGCCAAGGTAGTGGTGCAGCTCACCAAGATCAGTGCAGGTGTGTCTCTTCTGCAGTTCGGACTTCACGTGTGCCAAAGCAACCCTGTCAGGGGTGGCGAAAACAAGGTCGTCAACGTAGACCAGAACAAAGAAAGGTGTGGGGCCACGACGAACGAACAGCGACGGGTCAGCAGAAGACGGCTGGAACCCAAGGTCAGACAGGGTAGAACGCAGGGTGTCGTGCCACTCACGAGGAGCCTGACGAAGTCCGTAAACCGGTCGCCTCAACCTCCACTGGGTCCCAGGAGGGAAAGAGCCAGTGAAGGCAGAGGGACGACGCAACCAGACCTCCTCGTGAAGACTGCCCTGAAGGAAAGCAGTAGAGAAGTCGAGAGAGTGTAACTCGTAGTCTCTCTGTGCTGCTACGTGTAGTAACACCCGAAGAGTGGTCATCTTCGGGGTGGGCGCGAAGGTCTGAAAGAAGTCAACTCCCTCGCGCTGACTGAAACCTCTAGCCACGTAGCGCGCCTTGAAGACCGGAGGAGATCCCGGTGGCCGCTTCACCCTGTAGATCCACATGCCGTCGACTACGTTCGCCCCCGGAGGGGGAACCTCATCGACGTAGGTGCCTGTGGATCTGTAGGAGGCCATCTCTGCGTCCATGGCAGCTCTCCACTGAGAGGCCCAAGGCCCTGACACTGCCTCAGCGTAAGTGCGAGGAGTCGGAATGTCAAGGGCGTCGGGGTCACCCTCAGGGGCGAGGAGCATGGCACAGAGATGAGGGGAAGCGGCCGCCAGGAACTCTAGCTCAAACTGCCTGTCCTCTAGGGCGTCACAGCCAAGGGCAGACACACCCCCGACGGCCAGAGGACTGGAAGGAGGAGCAGCCACAAGAGCGGTGGCGAAGTCAAGGCGGCGGGTAGAGGCAAAGTCAGTGACTGCGGCAGTAAGAGCGGACACAGAGGACACAGAGGCACGAGGGTGGGTAACAAGAGAGGCGAGAACACGAGAGAGAACAGGACGGTACGTGCGGTAGTAGTCAGTGACAGGAGAAGGAAGCGACACAGTGAGGGCCGACTCAGGAGGAGACGGAAGCACAGACGGAGACGGACGAGGTGGACGAGAACAAAGGAAGGCTGTACGAAGGTCAGTGAAGGGAACAGGAGACGAGGGACGAGCACGAGGGGAGCGACGAGAGGCCCAAGTCTGAGAAGGAGGAGGAGACAACGAAGACTGAGAACGAGGGAAAACAGCGGGAGAGGGGTCAGGAGGAGGAAGCGGAGGACCAGAGACGGGAGGAGAGGGGGAGGAGGAAGGAGAGGGAGAGGGGAGACCAAGGGTCCGAAGACCCGAGACAGGAGGAGGAGACGGCAGCAGCTGCTGCTGCTGCTGCTGCGGCTGCTGCGGCTGCTGCTGCTCCAGCGGCTGCTGCCCCTGCTGCTGCTCCTGCTGCTGTCGCTCCTGCTCCTCGAGCCGCTGCAACTCTCTCTCCTCTCTCTCCAACTCCAGCTGCTCCTCACGAGCACGGCGAACACGAGCCTGGAACCTGGTCGGGTAGGGGTGGGGGGAAGGAGTAGTGTCCGGGGCAGCGGCAGCCCCAGAGTCGACCTCCGAAGCACCAAGCACACCACCCCCAGAGGCAGCACCAACACCAGCTCCAGACCCAGGCTCTCCAGAAACCGAAGGGACACCCTCACCCCCAGACGCAGCACCCCCAGACTCCGCACCAGCACCCCCAGACTCCGCACGACCAGTACCAGCCCCCGGAAGACAAGAGTCCTCTGCAACCCGCGGCTCAGCTCCAACTCCAGCACCCCCAGAACCAGAGACCTGTACAGGGACAGTCGTAGGACCAACCTCCCGAGAGGGAGCACCTGCAGGAGGCGGCGAGGAAGACTGTGGGGAGGGAGGCTGTACAGGGGGGGCTACCGAAGGGGGAGGGCTAGCCTGAGACACACCAGACGGGGCTGGACCAGGGGGGGGAGGCTGTACCGGGGGAGCAGGCGGGGGAGCGGCGGTCAGGAAGAGAGGGGGGGGAGGGACCGGGAGACCTCGACTGGGGTACCTGACGTAGTAGGGGGTGGACTCCTCGAAACGGACGTCACGGGAGTCAAAGAACCGGTGAGAGGGAGGGTGGTAAAAGGTGAAGTCAGAGGAGTCCTCAGGGAAACCAAGGAAGACACAAGGAACGGCGCGAGGCGAGAGCTTGTCCGCGGAGGTGTCGCGGACAAGAGCCAAGCACCCCCAGACACGAAACCTCGACGCGACACCAGGGGACCCTGTCCAAAGACTGGTCGGTGAAGCCTCCGGCCGAGAGACGCGTGGCCAGAGGTTCAGCTGGTGCGCGGCGTACCTGACCGCGTATGGCCACAGGAAATGGGGGGCACGGGCGTGAGTCAAGGAGGTGCGGGCAATCTCCATGACCAGGCCTATGCGACGCTCAGCAACCCCATTCTGCTGTGGGGACTCCGGAAGCGTCCAGGACTGACGAATGCCCTGTTCGCGACAGAATCCAGCGAGAATGCCGGAGCGAAACTCGCCCCCGCGGTCGGAGTGGAGACAGCTGACACGACGACCACGAGTGTCCTGGGTGGTAAGCAACCACCTGATCAGCGTAGAAGTCACCTCAGACTTCCTCGCCAGGGGGAACACTGTGGTGTAGCGGGAGTAGTCGTCAACGACCACCAAAAAGAAACGCTCACGCTCAGGGCCAGGGCGAGGAGAGGGGCCCCAGACGTCCAAGTGCAGCGTCTCAAAAGGCTCGGTGGCCGGACGAAGGGAGGAGGAGTGAGGGGTGGCACGCAGCCTACCCTCGACGCAAGGACCGCACGGTGGTGCAAGGGACGGCGGCAGCGACGGCAAGACACGCGGGAGACCTAAGACAAGACGCTGACGAGACATAGCGCGAAGACGAGGAGGAGAAGGGTGCCCCAGCCGGTGGTGCCACAAAACGGTGGGGTGGGCAAGCGACCGACAGGAGCACGACGCAGCGACCGGACTAGACGGAGGA